TCCTAGGGAAGGACATCATGCTTGGTAAAGTGGAAAGTTAAAAAGCAGAAAACCTCTAATGAGATGGACTGACACAGTGACAACAACAATTGGCTCAAACACAGTTGTGTTTTGTTCTGTTGTACAGTGTTGTCTTCTATTGTACATAGGTCACTGTGAATTGGAACTGATTCATTGGCACCTAACAGCATCAATAATAACAACAAAATGATAATCTAGGTTACTGTCTACACTTTTGAAGAATATTATTTCTACTTTCAGTTTAGTATTGACTTTTCTCAAAATCCTTTTCTTCCCAAGATTTACTTACATTAAGCATTCAGTTTCTGGAGTCCTGGTATGGTGCTGTGGACTAATGTGTCAGACTGCAAAGTCATTTGAACTGCAAGCTTGGTGGTTCAAGCTCACCAGCTGTTCTTTGGAAACCCTATACAAGGTCACTATGGGTCGGAATCGACTTGATGGCACTTAACAACAAAACAACATTCAATTTATATATGAAGGCAACTCAAAAAATGTATTACTACTAGTGTTCTAGTCCAAACAAAACTGTTTAAACATGTGTCTGGGATCAGTGAATGGCTACTGTCAGGTTTTCTCAGTAATACTGTTAGGGTGCCTTTAAAAATACCAAAACCAAGTGAACATTTTCCCAAATCAGCAAAGCTTTGTAACAAGCTTAAAGGAATGCTGTCCCACATAAAACAACAGTTCTTAGATGGATCAAGCATTTTAAGAAAGATCGGGAAGACCTCAAAGATGAGTTGAGAGAGGAAGATTATAAGCCTCCACAAAAGAAGAACCTGACTGAAGTTCAGAAACTGGTGGAAGGAGATCATAGAATTACCATTACAATAGCCACTGATGCTCGAATCTCGCATGATTTTGATTTTTCAATTTTCAGAAAACATCTTGGCCTCAGCAAGTTTTCATCTCCATGACTGTCAAAAGCCATGAGTGCCATTAGTCTTTTAAGCAAGACTGAAGCCAATGAAGATGATTTTGTGAATTGTAATGGGATGATTCTTGGATTTACCAATATGATCCAGAGAATAAGGTCCAATTAAAACAGTGGCTTTCAAGGGGATCTGCTGGGCCATTTAAATTCAAGGCAGAAGTCAGTTCAGGAGGATAATGGTGACTGTTTTTTTTTTTTTTTTTTTTGGATTCCAAATGGGGTAACGAAAGATTTTCTTCAAGGAAACAGCATGATCATTTTGA